ACATCAGTGATGACCCCCGTTTCCTCGAGAGTATTCCGGATCCCATGGGATCCCCACTCTATTCCGATCGTCGTAGTCTGACCCATCCCCGCGTCTTTCAACGCTTCAACGTTCCCGCCTGGCGATGCCTCCGAGAGACCTGTAGATGAAAATACAGACAGCGCTCTATCATCGCTCTCACTGATCGCGTTCTGCGCTACTGCTGAAGATCCCTTAGCTATCAACTCCAGATCTGTAGGATCGGCACCGACATTCCCAATGGTGGTCGCACTATTCGAATACACTCCTGGAACGAGATCATCTCCATTCCCTCTGCCCATCCCATGTCCGCTATCCGCACTTCTCGTGCGATCGCCTTCAGCACCGAGCTCGCCACTGTTCATCATCGCATCTATTCCATCATCATTCCTCCTGATCGTCCTATCGTGATCTGACGATGATGACACGGCAAGGCTATCCACTCTATCCTCGATCGCCATTTCTATCCTGGAACCGGTGATTCCCTTGGCACCTCCCGTTGACTCGTAATCCGTTCCGTGGAACACAGTCTCGGAGGGGATGATGAACGGTCCCTCTTCCAGCCTTCCACCTATTCCAGCCAGATCCTCGATAGCAAGCGTCGGAGTCCTAGCGTTTCCCGCTTCTATCCCACCTCTTCCAGCCCTATACTCATTTAAATCTGTAGCTCCCACGACTGGATCGAATACTACAGGACGGCTTGCAAGCATGCTGAGCTGCATCACGGCATCCCCTCTATCTGCTATCGACGGGATTGCGAGCAACTCCTGCAATCCTTCGTCTGCGTCCCTCCCCTGAGTGCCCGACGTGTCCGCTATCCCGGCATAGCCCAGTCCTCCCGACCTCCCCACACTATCCATCGCCGCCACGATCTCCAAGTTTCTATCCGTCAGTCCTGGGGGTGGTCCTGGCACTAACATACTATCCGCAGCACTCGACCTAACGTCTACAGTAAGCGGTCCTGAGAAACTGAGGCCGAGGCGATCTCTATCAGCACTGCTATCCATCTCCATTCCTGTCCTTCCACTATTCCGTCCGTCGTCGATGAAGTTCACGTTCTCGGCGTCGGCTATGCTTCTCACATGACTATCGGCGGCGGCCACATCCTGATTGACCGCAGTGACCTGGTCCTCGAGAAATCTATTCCCTACTCCCAATACATCACTATCGCTAGACTCACTGCTCCCAATGCTATCACGTGTGGACATTGCTGCAGTCAACGAACACAAGTGACAAATGCGGAAAACTTCGCTATGCAAGTGGTACCTCTTCGCTATACCAAGAAAACTTCTCGAACAGCTCGTCCAGGCCAAGCAACAAGGCTCTTAACCTGTGCGAAGTGTCCAAACCAATGAAAACTTGCGCAACCCGTTCCAGTAACTAGCTCAGGCCACACGAGGAGAAAGAAGTTGAATATTTACAGTTGTAGGTTGTAATGTTGCACCAGAAGTAACAGTATCCCTGTCAACGGGGAACACGAGGTAGCTAGCCAAGTATTCCAAGCCACTCCCGACGTTAACTATCGGAAGGATCCCCAGAGTTGCTATCGCCAGGGGGTGGTAACCTATCGTTCAAGATGTATCCACTAGCCGTCCGGCTGCGTGTTGTACACCTATCCCGATATTCACCTGAACAGCCACCTGCCCTCAGTATCCTCCGGCCTCCGGCTATGAGTTGTAAAGAGAACAGATAACTATCCCGAGGTTAGGGAAAAGGATCTATCCCTCGTCAACGCCCGATCCTTTTAGCTCCTCTGGCCTCCGGCTGCGAGTTGGCTAATCGGATCCACCACGTACAGGGACACTATCCACGGGGGCGAAAACTGTACAAAGTCGGCTGCTACAAGTCTAAGAAGGGCCCTTCTTGAGCAGCTCGCGGCTGCGAACGGACACGAAGTCCATACTCTATCCAGGCTCATCCACGAGGAGGACGTCCACTATCCCTGGGCCAAACCCGAAATCAATGTACAAGCTAAGTTCGCACCCCATGAAATTAACTTGACCTCTTTGTGCTAAACATTACAAGCCCCAAACCCACCACTTTCGAAACCTAAACCCTAAACCCTAAATCCTAAACCCTAAACCCTACACCCTAAACCATAAACCCTAGGCTTAGTAGCGCGCCTTCGTGGTTCCTTGCCCTGCGTATCAGTCACTGTACTGTACTCAGAGCCCTGGCAAAAAGAGATGTGTTGCTGTTTCTTCGAGTGTAATAAGCAAAAGTTAATGAACTAGTTTCGAGATCCCCTTAGAATCAGTCCCCCTACCTTGAAGTAGACCCTGCAAAAACGTATATACTTTCGAGGTAGAAGTAGCCATAGTAGGAACCCAAACAAATCATTAAAGTATAGTACTCCAAAACCCAAGTCCAGGATACTTGTGGCTCACAATCTGCTGGCCGTTGGGGCTAGTCGCAGCTTCGCGTGGGATGTCAATGGGATCCATCCTCGCAGCCTGCGCCGCAAGCATCCGAAGCCATTTCAAGTCCTGAACCCTAAACCCGAACTCCTTCTTGCTCCCTAAACCCCAAACCCCTAAACCCTAAACCCTAAACCCCAAACCCTAAACCCGACTTCCTTCACCCTAAGCCCTGAATGTTGAACCTCGAGGGTCCGCAAGCTTCAAGGATTAGGCTTCTGGACCAGTAGCGAAGGAAGTTCCTCTTGGCGTTCAGGTATACATGGTCATTTCTCCGAATTAGGGTGGTTGGTATTATAAGGCGGCCCCTAATATGTAGGCTTCCTTTGGACCAACACTTTTGAGAACTTGCCATATGTTGGGGATTCAGGTCCAGGACGTCGGGCCTAGGACTTAGCATTTAGGGTTGCTCCAGGCATGCAGACACACTGCTAGCCAGGGAAAAAAGGTTAAACTTTATGATTCCTACTATCGGTAAGGAAAACCAAAAAGTTTCAAGTCCAACTATTGGGTATAAGTAAGAATTATACAAGAAATTTGCGGTGATGCTGTTGGAAACTTAGCAATCTGCTTTGAAGACTCAGGTTGAACAGTTTCGGGCTTTGAGGTTTTAGGGGTTACGTCTGCTGCTTAAGAAATTTGGTCTAAGCACGACGATGTTTAAGGTTGTAGGGCTTGAGAACTAATCGCAGTCCTAAACCCTACACCCTAAGCCGTAAGCCCTAAACCCTACACCCGAAACCCTAAACCCTGACACCCCAAAGTGAAGGCCCCAACCGGGGGGCCCAAGAGCGCACATCTGCCTCGTAGGCATCGCCGAACATGCTCCGCGCCTGCTCCGCCTTGACGCCCCATTCGGGTCTGTCAACCTAAACCCTAAACCCTAAAAACCCTAAACCCTAACCCTAAACCCTAAACCCTAAACCCTAAACCCTAAACCCTTTTTGCGTCAGGGCTCGCTCAAGTGCAGTGTAAGCCCACACCCTAGAACTTCAACTTGGCTTGCATCTTCAGGGTACGGCGGCGTAGGGCTCAGGGCCTACTGGATGGCGCAGATTGCACGGACGATCTCCCTTAAACCCTAAACCATTTTCACTAAACCCTAAACCCTAAACCCTAAACCCTAAACCCCTTTCAAGCCCCGACTTCCGCCTTCTGAACCCAGGCTCCTGGCCTTCTCCGTTGCATTCAGAACCTTCCCCGGGGTCGCCATGGCCGCAGCGGCCGCTGCATCCTCTTCGGCTTTGGTTTTTTTGGGAGTAGGGTTTAGGGTTTAGGGTTTAGGGTGTAGGGTTTAGGGTTTGGGGTTTGGGGTTTGGGGGTTAGGGTTTGGGGGTTAGGGTTTAGGGTTTAGGGTTTGGGGTTTAGGGTTTAGGGTTTGGGGTTTGCGGTTTGGTGTTTGGGGGTTAGGGTTTGGGGTTTGGGGGTTAAGGTTTGGGGTTTAGGGTTTGGGGTTTGGGGGTTAGTGTTTGGGGTTTAGGGTTTGGGGGGTAGGGTTCGCAATGTAGGGGTTTAGGGTTCGGCTTTGGGTCTGTTGGGAATAGGGGCCTTCGGGTTTCAGGATGTTAGGGTGTAGGGTTTAGGGCCTTTGGGGTCTAGGGCCTTAGGGGGTTGCCAAGTTTTCCGATGTTGGGGTCATGGTCTTGCAGGCTTGAGTGGGTCTGTATAGACTTGCTCTGCTTTTTTAGGGGCGCGCCGTTGGGGTGGCGTTTCAGCTCACGAAAAGCTTGCAGGTTTTGTCGGGCGTAGGTTGCGTAGGCGGCTTCAGGCTTAGGATGCTTGGGTCGCTGGACCTGACAGTTCGATGGCTCTTTTTTTTCTGGCTGCAAGACTTTGAGTCCTCGGGTTGAGGGTTTAGGACCCCAAATTCGGAGGTATGGGAGCCAATGCTCTGCGATGGACTACAAGGAAGATTTCTCTGCCGCAGAAGTCTATCCCACCCCTTGTGCAAGGTCCGGGCCACTCTCCCTCGAAGTGTTCATGTGCTGCAACCCTCAGCGGACTCCGATTTTACAGCGCTGGCTTTTCAGCTTCAGCCGCTTCTATTTTTTTGTGAATCGTTTTCCGATTCCGGTGCCAGAGACAGCATGCACAAGAATCTGCATGACACCTGAAGCATCTCATAGCTTCAAAGAATAGCAATGTCTGTGGTGAAAGCAAAGCAGGGAAAAAACACGATTGGCAGAATCCCTGTACCGCATTGGGAATCGTTTTCCGATTCCGGTGCCAGAGACAGCATGCACAAGAATCTGCATGACACCTGAAGCATCTCATAGCTTCAAAGAATAGCAATGTCTGGGGTGAAAGCAAAGCAGGGAAAAAAAAACACGATTGGCAGAATCCCTGCACCGCACTGATTGGGCACGAAGCAGCTACTGATACGCCGAGACTGCGTAGGAGCCCCAGCTATGAGCCGCATTGAGCAAGACACGCTTCCAAACCTTGCTACTATTGGGCCTTAATAATAAGAATAGGGTGTTAGGGGGGTTATTGTAGTATAAATAACATCAGGGAATACTATTTGTATATGATTCACCTGTGAGAACTTGTCCCCAAAGACGAGGCTCATTCACGGTCGTGCCCCTTGCCGTATCTGCGCACCTCCACCTCGTAAGGGATGCCCACCCTCCCTTTTGTCCAGCATTCCCCTGGACAAGCTTAACCTAGGCTGCCCAGTAACCAAGGCTGAAAAAGGGTGCCCTTTTTTGCTTACAGGGGTTCATAAGGGAACCTAAACCCCCCAAAAAGGGAATAAGGGTACTACTGGGCATCCTCGTAACTGTTTCTGGGATCTTAAGCCAAGTTGAACGAGGGCATCTGCTTTGGATTTGATTCTGTTCAGGGCTCGTAGACAAAGGGTACCACAGCATCGGGCTTCCTAGGAAACATTCAGGCTCAACCTTTCAAGAACGCCGCCTGGATGGGCGGAAGAGGCGCCGGAGGAGGGCTGAAGCCCTGTTGCTGCTTGGGCACAGCCGTCGTGGCAGGAGGCAGCCCGGGCGGGAGCTGAGGAAGATCGATGCCGGGAGGGAATTGAGGAAAGCTGGGCGGCTGCGAGGGCAATGGGGCGTCTTCCAAGGGGTTGCTGTCCTCGACATCCAGGAGCTCGTTGAGGCCAAGGTGAAGTTGGATGTAGGCGGCCTTCGTTACGGCCAACACGCTGAAGACCATAGAAACACAGGTGCTCAAAAATGCTTCTGGGCTGTCGCTGAAATGGAAGGCTGCGACATACTGGAGAAGTAAGGACAGTGGGGCCTCGATGCTCTTCTCGCTCTTCACAATCCGCAGGTAAGTATCTGTGGGGAAGCCCAAAGCATGTGACTCCAAGAAGGAGGTGAAAAGCTTAGCCGGGCCATTCCGCAACTCTGCCACAAGAGTAATCACAACAATGGTAGCCTGCAGAGCTGCAAAGCCCCAATGCTTGCCAGAGACTGCGTACTGGTAGAGGCAATTCAAGTCCAGAAGGAAGTCCGCGAGCAGCATGGCGAATTCGACGTCCAGCTTGATGCGATCCATGTAGGTGCGGTCCTTACTGCTGTGAAGCGTGATTCCGAGGGACCCCGGGACCACCGGGACCACCTGTTTTGAACCCAAACGAGCCCTCAGCCCTGCCAACCCTCTGCCCGACAAGCCGGGCCTGGGTCAACGAGGTTATTTCAAATCACAGTTCAATGCAACGAAAAACTGTGACCCAGGTCCCAATTCCCACGTAAGTCTACTGAACCCTCAACCCAAAAAACCAAGGCTCAAGGTTCCCTTCCTTCATTTGCACGAGCAAGGCACTTGCTCTCTCGCAAACCGATCTCTGCAAAGCTCTGTCTGAAGGAATTGTGCCGCAGCCACAAACTCCCTGCTTTCCACATAGCGCGCCCCGAAGTAAAACACCCACGCAAAAGACAAACACTGCACCAGTCGGGATGTAGAGGTAGGCCCAACCTGCCATAATGTAAGCACGTGCAAGCGGGTCATGCGGATCACATGACATCGCCCACATTTGACACATGAATGGTTGGTCTCGCCGGCATCTGAAATACTGGATTAGGTCCAGCTTCTGTTTGAGACACAAGCCTCGAAGCATCTCGGGAAGCCGGAAATCTTCACACAATGTCTGCAACAAAGTTGCACGTCCAGTCATGTTCGCCACTCCAAGCGGATCGTAGGAATCACAGTCCCCGTCCATTTGACACTGACACAAGAGAGTTTCTGGCCATAAGCACGTATTTGTTGTCAGTTCAGCTTTGTTTTCGTCCCTTTTTTTTTTTCATTTCATACTCCAATAACGCGCAGCTGATCCTCCAATAAAGCCTGAAAGGATCGTCTGACTGCATAAAAGTACCCACAATGACAACGCCGCAAGCTGTCTTCAACGCAATTGTCAGAACAAAAAACACCAAACTTGTTGTTGCTTGCGGAAAAGGCCAAAAGCGGAGTATCGTGCAGGAAAGAAAGCGTGCAGACCCGTGGCCTGCTGAAACTCACAAGTGAACTTGCCGGTGCGTCTCACATTTGCAAAGTGTCCAGCCCATACGGCGAGGAGCAACTGAATTGCAAGGATTCCGATGCCTGCAAATATGCCAGTCTGACTAGTATCGAGTTGCTGCCCTGCTTGCACCAAGACGAGGGTCGAGAGGACCTCAAACAAAGTCAGAACCCAAATCAGCCATGCTTGTCTTCGAAAGCCCGGCTGGTCACCGAGAATCTCTTGTGTGGCCAGCAACTTCGCTGAAACTCTGCATTCGGGCATTGCGACACTGCCTGGCAAACTATGGGCCCTGCCCCCGGTGAAAACCTGAAACCAAAATGGCTTGCCGACATTCTCCATGTTCATACGTGGAAGCACAAATGGTTGATTTCAAATCATTTCCTCCTGATACACTAAACTTCGTGTGAATACAAATAGGTTTACTTTTGGTGAACATCTCGTTTGACAGGTATATCTCAAACGGCTGTTGAAACGCAGGAAAGGCTCCAAACCCTAAGCCTCAAGCCTCAACCCTAAATCCTAAACCCAAGGTTCTTTGCAGGCTCTACAAGCCCACAAACTCGCCACCCACGAGCACTAAACTATGGTGTAATTATATGGGGGCCATACGGGAATAATTTACTACCCCTAAACCCAAATTTCTTTGCAGCTCCATATATCTATATATTTATATATGCCCTAATCTCGCCTCCATTGCTTCTACGGAGATCTCCACGGATGACTCGGCGCGGTGCAGGGCGTCGGCGTGACTCAGCATCGTCGCGTACTCCTGCATATGCTTCGGCGGAGGGCTTTTCTGCCTATATTTAACTCGTGATGAAAAAACAAGAAGCCCAAAAATGACTCAAAGGTTTCCGCAAAGAGAGGAACAAAGCAACAAAAACAAGGGGGCTTCAGCCTAAAAAGGAAAAAGAAAACGAACCCTAAACCCTAAACCCTAAACCCTGAACCCTGAACCCTAAACCCTAAACCCTAAACCCTAAACCCTAAACCCTAAACCCTAAACCCTAAACCCTAAACTCACTTTTTGCCGCCCGTCATCCTCCAAGCTGAGGAGCTGGTCCTGTGCCCAGAAGCATGAGATGAAGGAGCCGATGCTTCTCATAGCTGTATTAGTTTAGGGTTTAGGGTTTAGGGTTTAGGGTTTAGGGTTTAGGGTCTAGGGTTTAGGGTTTAGGGTTTAGGGTTTAGGGTTTAGGGTTTAGGGTTTAGGGTTTAGGGTGACTAAACAATTCTGTTCCCCATTGTTCTATTTTTTCACCATGGTTCAATAGTTCGGAAATTGTATCGAGTTCCCCGTTATACTAACAGTCCTAAGTAGGGATGAAAGTATCCGCGATTAGAATCCCTATTAAGGACTGTTAGTATAAGGGGGAACATCCCAAAATATCATCGTTGACGAAGATGATCCTTACGGCCTTCGGATTTCAAGTAATAGCCTTCTTTTGGAGCTATATAGGGAATGAATCTGTCTCCGCTTACTGGCTCTTAGTAGGCAAGTAAGTTAGGAATTAGAAGCACCTTTTTGGAACGGAAACATACAAGCATTGATGGTAAAATAATCCCTACAGTACTGCCCCACTCACTTACTGGAAATGGCAAAACATGCTCCCGTGAGGCAAATACTCTCAGCCCTGAACCTAAGACTTAAAAAACGAATTGGGGACTGATCTAAACTCGGTGATGCTTTTTGGTTACCCCAAACTGTAAGGAACGGAATAGCGTAGTGAAGGGCCGCAAAGTTCCAGAATTTAGATCGGCCCCATTTATGGAAGCGCATTTGGGCGACTGAGTTCCGCCTGGTTAGCATCGGCATCTGTCAACAAACCTCGGCTACAGCTCATCCAGCGGGCCTATCTTGGTAGTCAAGGGTTTTCGGTCTAAACCCTAAACCCCAAACCCCAAACCCTAAACCCTAAACACTAAACACTAAGCCCTAAACCCTAAGCCCTAAACCCTAAACCCTACACCCCATTCTTAGGTGGCCATCCTGCACGCACTTCTACATTGTCACTCAACACTGCACAAGATTGCCTGCGGCTTGATTGGGTATGTTCGGGTTTGAGACGCAGGGCTGGCTCAAAGCCGGGGACCGTCCCCTGGCACTGTGCTTATTCACATGCGCAAGCTTTCCATGGCAGATGTGCAAGCGAAAAGACAAGGGAGATCTTGAACTAGGTACCATACAACCCCTAACGTGACCTGTTCCGATCTTCCACTTTGGAGCAGATGTTTACACTACTTTGTGCTGGCTGCTACTCGATGCCGGCAGTAGTTCAAACTCTTGCCATGTGCCTGCGCAGCGCAGACGGGAACACTGCACGACCCTACAAAGTAAGCCACCTATTCCTATACTAGGAGCTCTGTCCCTAAACCCTAAACTCGAACAATACCTCCTCTTAACTGGAAACAGTTCACTGAAAGATTGCGCTCCAGTGTTTATTTGCATCTCAGATACCATTGCTTTATTAAAGAAAAGCCTCCTTCCTGCTTTCTTTTCCCACTTTCTTCAGTTTGAAGAAGTGGCCTCCTCTACCTAGCCTTTCTTCCCTCTTTTCTGCTTCTTTACTCATAAAGAGGGCCCCCTGAAAACTCTTTGAGCAAGTAGCCGAGGGCGTCGAGGTCGGGAGATTCGGTGGAGTTCAGCAAATCATCAAAGTTGGGTCCCTGATCCTGGCAGGGTGTAGGGTCCAGTTCGGGTTTAGGGTTTAGGGTTTGGCGTATGTTCATGGGACCTGCTAGTTGTTCGGGGGTGAAGGGGTTTTTTGGGGGTTTAGGGATTTATGGGTTTGGTGGGTTTAGGGTTTGTACAGGGCTTTCTGTTGCCTCCCGCCCACTTTGTTTAGGGTTTGGGGTTTAGGTGCTAAGGGTTTCGCGCAAACACTATTGTCGGGGTTTGTCTCACTCTAATGCACAGACTTCAAGGACACACAGACGCCCACTTTTCTTGCGCGGGCGAGGCTGAGTCATAGTTTAGGGTTTAGGGTTTCGGGTTTAGGGGTTGAGGGGTTTATGAGAGTTTAGGGATGGGTCTCAGCTACTTGTCGAACGTGGTCGCCGCTGCCGGGACAGGCAAGAAGCCGTAAGCGTAGCTTAGCCTCAGCTGGCCCGCTCCCCCGCGCAAAAGCAACATGAAGTTCCTCTTCGACAGCATATATAACCCCAAACCCTCAAGGCCCTGAACCTTCAACCCTAAACCCTCATAAACCCCCAAAAACCCTAAGACCCTAACACCCTGAAACTGTAATTTCAAGAACCCTAAACCCAAATCCTCTCAGCTGCAAATCCTCTCAGCTGCTAAGCAGCCCCTGAAGGAGCTTGCCAAAGATCCTGGCCACAGTGGTCTGGGCCACTGTCGCGCCCGGTGGCGTCGTGTCCAGCATGTCCAAGCGCATCACCTGGGCCCCTTAACGGGTTTAGGGAATAGGGACTAGGGAATGGGGTTTCGGGTTTATAGGCTTTACGTAGGGTTGGGCTAGCCGATAACCAAAAAGTTAGTATAGCACATCATTCTGGCAGCTTTCACTTTGAGATGAGGAGGCACTTAGTCTCTTTCGGTAGGTTGCAAGATTGCTGGGGCGGTGGGTAGCGAAGGTCTTCAGGGCTGCTGGGGGGGGCGTTGATGATTCAGTACCTCCAAGAAAGCTCTTCACTCTGGGCTACAGTAAAGCCAAAATCCTAAATTGCGCGTGCAACCGCATCTAAGGAAGCAATGGCTGGCATCGCAATCTAGCAATCTATAAGGATCAGCCCCATTAACCCGAACCTTTTTTCCAGTAGGCGTCTGTGGCCCAAACTATGCCCTCACATCTGCGCGCCCCAACCCTTTCGAAGCTTAAGCCCAAAAAGCCATGGGAACCCCCAGAACCACATTCGTATAGATCCCCAAATAGTAGAATTCCTTCATAGTAAGGGCCCCAATAAGGGACCCTAGTTTCGGAAACCCCATAGTAGTCCTAGATTCCCAAAGAAAGGCACCCTCATCCTTGCACTTAGAAACTTCGGCACCTGAAGGCAGTCAAGGAGCGACCACAACACGGCAGTTGGAATACGACCGATTCCCCAAGCCGCGGTGGAGCAGCCTCCGGCAAACACGCAGGTTTTGGGTTCAGGGTTCAGGGTTCAGGGTTTAGGGTTTAGGGTTTAGGGGAGTTTTGGGGAAGAGTTTGTGAGTGCAATGTCTCAGGGGTGCCAGGGAAGGACTCCCACACCAGCTCAAGCCAACCCTAATCGGCATCCCTTAGCAAGCTCGGCCAGGCTTTGATGAAGGAAGAACCCTAAACATTCCCTAAACCCTAAACTCTGAATCCTAAACGCTGAACCCTAAACCCTAAATCCTGAATCCTGCACCCTCAACCCTGAACCCTGAACCCTAAACGCCAAACCCCACCCACACCCGGCCTGGCGTCGAAGAGCAGCGCCTCTCCTGGCCGCAGCGGCGCCGGCGCAAGGGCGCCCCCCGCGCGGCCCAGGCTTCGGAAGCAGCTCCCCAGTCCCCCAGCACCTGCTTGGGGTTTAGGGTTTAGGGTTTAGGGCTTGGGGCTTGGGGTTTAGGGTTTAGGGTTTAGGGTTTAGGGTTTAGGGGCCCCCACAGCACTTGTTTGGGGTTTCAAGGGGTTTGGGTTTTTGGGGTTTATGGTTTTGGTTGTGGGGTATAGGGTTCAGGGGAGTTATTATGCAATGTTTGGCTCATTCACCGTTAAGGGGTTTGGTTCCAGGTTTCCGCTGCGCCCTCCGAATTCAGAATTCCGCAATTCAGCCCAGAACTACCCATCGCTCAGCCGACATGTGGCGAGCTTCAGCCGGCGAGCTAACAAATTCTAACTAAACCCTAAACCCTAAACCCTAAACCCTAAACCCTAAACCCTAAACCCTAAACCCTAAACCCTAAACCCTAAACCCTAAACCCTAAACCCAACGTGAAGGGAACACACCATAATGCCCCGAAACAGGCGAAGGGTGAATGCCTTCCATGGCTTTCATAGACTGCTTGGTCTGACCTTATGATTATTTCATACAATTACAATACATTATTACAGTTCTTCTTATTCTTGTTATTGTTCTTCTTCTTGTTATTATTATTTGTTATTGTGATTGTGATGTTGTTTGTCTTTTTTTTGGGTAGGGGGTCGGGTTGGAGTTGAGCTTGCGGGGCCAGGGCGCCTCATGGTTCATGGCCTTGGGATTTTGGGGCTTCGGGCGTGGAGGCGGTGACTTCTGCGGCCGGGTTTGCGCAGCCCAAGGCTGTTGATATGGGGGGGGTGTACGACATTAGGGGTACCTTTTTGGGATCCTGGTGAAAAATAAGGGGATCTGACCATTTGGGGGTCGAGATTCGGAGCCCCTTATTATCGTAAACCCCCCCATGTCTCATGTCTTTTGGCGTTTTGGGGTTTCAGGGCTTAGGGCTTAGGGGCAGGAAGAGCACGGAGTCTGGGGTGGAAGGGGATGCTCTGCCCAGCCCGGGGTCACGCAAGGGTTTGGGGTTTGAAGGTTTGGGGGCTTTTGGGGGGAAAACGAATGGGATTTGGCCCTGCATCTGTGTGTTGGGCACAGTGGGGCTGTTCCAAGCCTATTTTCGGCCTCAAGGACCTGTTTCCGGGTGGTCGACCCCCCAATTCTAACTGTACGTAGAACCCAAGTATATCCCTAGTAGGGTACCTAAAGGGGCTTACAAGTGGGTGACAACCAAACGTATGATTGGGTCATGAAGTACCCTGAACCTCCAAGTAGGGTTTGTCACGAAGATTCCAAACGAACATCGCACTGGAGGTGTTTCTTGTGCACGCCACAGGCCCGGGAAGAAGATAAGATGATGCCTGCCATCCAGAGACCCTAAAACCCCAAAACCCTAACTTAAACCCGAACTTTAACCCTAGAACCCTAAAAGCCTAAACGCCTAAACCCCTAAAACCCTAAACCCCTAAACCCCCTGGCCTCTAAGAAGATGCTGCGTGCCCGGAAGCAACTCGGTGGGTCCAAGCTCACTCGTCACCTCTCGCTATGGGATGGCCTTAGGGGTTTACAGGGTCATTATGGAGTTACTATATGGCTATTATAGGGTTATTGTAGGGTCATTATAGGGTCATTGTAGGATTGTTACGGGGTTCTTCCACGGTCAGTGTAGCGTCATTATAGGGCTACCGTCGGGCGATTCTAGCGTTTCTCGCATTTATGGTCTAACTGCAGGATTTCTGGTGTGGATTTTATAGGGTTGGGTTCTAGAGATTGCAGCAGGGTTTATGCTCAAAAGGACTCCGGCGTGTGTTTAGGGTTTAAGGCTTAATGGTTTTGTTCTTGTCTTGCTGAAGTAAGAACTCTGATGTATGGGCCCTTAATGTACTTAATTTCTATAGGGTAGGGGTCCCCTTTTCAGTACTAAGGGACCATGTAACTACTCTAAGCAGAGCCCTAAACCCTATGATGCTCTGAGTACATACAGAAAGTCAAGGCAGTGTGTGGACCACTAGATAAAATCCCGATGCACTTCAGAGCCTAATCCTTGGGGTGTGTACTTGGAGGTTCGTGGGTACCTATAAGTAGGGTTATGAGTATCCTGAATATAAGCATACTTACCATACTTGCTTATCACTGCTTAGAGCTACCGATAACCCCAAGTCATAAGCCCTCTTTGTACCCCGAAACCCAAAACCCTCAACTATGTCGGCCTCAGAGACTGGAAGGACGATGGTCAAGCCAGGCATGAGGTTATCCTCAGTGAGATCGACTGTGTTTAGGGTTTAGGGTGTCTTTAGGGCAGTATCAATTTTGGTGGCTTAAGGCTTAACAGAGTCTCGGGTTTTGGGGTGGTTGAGGGGCTTCCAGGGGTGCAAGGCGCACCGACACCTTTCAAGCCTAAACCCTAAACCCTAAACCCTAAACCCTAAACCCTAAACCCTAAACCCTAAACCCTAAACCCTAAACCCGCATGTTTCAGGTTTGTGGGAAATTTGGGAGCTAAGGATGCCTGCTCAACGCAGACTGCGTCAGCCTCCCTGCCTTATCTCGTGAACGAGGCGATCAATTCACCCTGTTGCTAGCAGCAAAGCCCTTAGCCTGCTTTGCAACTTCTCGGAGTTGCTTTTGGGGCAAATAGGGCTTTTTTCGGATACCTCGGTTCTTCTTCCGTGTCTGAGGACCTAAGGTGAAAGGTTTTTGCGTCTGACATGGCCCTCAAGATAAACCGCAGCCAGGTTTCTCGGTGCCACATCTGAGGTACCGCGCCAGGGTCCGAGATGAGAAGCTGGCACTCGGAGAGAAAGAGGCGGGGAGGGCGCTCCTCCGGGAGATTTTAGGGTTTAGGGTTTGGGGTTTAGATTCATTTGTTTTTGCCTACCGCCTTGCTGAACTAGCGTACTCTTTTGCAGGGTCTATACAAACACGTACGGCTGAGAATTGCGCATCTGGTTGCGGGTTTGAGCCGTATATATGTAGGGCTTGGGGCTGCTAGGGCTTCTTCAGGGTTTCTTTTCCAGGGCTTGCGGGCTGCGGGTTTTGGGCTTATAAGCCCTGGGCACCTACCATCTCCGATCTGTGAGACCCCTGTGGCCCTAAAACCCCTCACATCCTGGGAAAGCCAAAGCTTCCCAAAACCTCCTGAAAGCTGCAGCTTTCCCAACACGGGTTCATAGGTTTAGGGTTTAGGGTGTAGGGCTTAGGGTTGAGGCTCTTCATCCCTAAACCATCCGAAGCCCTAACCACTGTGAGATTGCCGTTGGACCCACCTAAACCCTCAACCCTCAACCCTCAACCCTCAACCCTCAACCCTCAACCCTAAACCCTAAACCCTAAACCCCTGCCTCCGCACCAATCGCCCCCTGCAGCAGTCGCCCGGGCGCGGCATCCGGACGGAACTCCTCGAAGAAGCGGAGGACAAGTGGCATCCTCAGGCTTCGGCGGCTTTAGGCTTTAGGGTTTAGGGTTTAGGGTTTAGGGTTCAGGGTTCCAATGACCTAGAGAGAAGAAGCTGCATTCTTTATAGGGGAGGGGGGGTTCATGGGGGGGGGGGGGGGGGCAACTGAAAGCTTAGTAGCGGGGAGGATCAGGGAACCTTGGGTTACACACCCCCCTTGAACCCCCCTCCCTGAAGAACCCCATAAGTTCTGAAAAGGTTCATGGGTACTCGACTCCTCATCCCAAACCCTGGGCCCTAAACTCTAAGGACTAGACCCTAAACCCTAAACCCTGAACCCTATAAACCCTAAACCCTAAGCCCTAAGGCCTAACCCCTATACCCTAAACCCTAAACCCTCGGCCCACAAACGCTTGGAGGTGAGCGGCAAGGGGGCCAGTAAGGGCACCAAGGACTCCTCCGCAAGGACGGTGCCCCGCAACCTTTGTTCTTCACTCAAGGTTTAGGGTTTAGGGTTTAGGGTTTAGGGTTTAGGGTTTAGGGTTTAGGGTTTAGGGTTTAGGGTTTAGGGTTTAGGGTTTAGGGTTTAGGGTTTCCGGTTTTGGGGTTTAGGGTTGGAACTTGCTCCTTCTTCTTCTTCCTCTTCTTATTGTTGTTGTGATTCTGCTTCTTCTTCGTGTTCCTCGACTTCTTCTCTGTCTTGGCCTAGGCACCCTAACAACCAATCCCTCTCTCTCTCTGTCTCTGCCTCTCTCTCTCTCTGTCTCTCTCTCTCTCTCTCTCTCTGTGAAGTTTGCGGAGTTTGAGGTCCTTGGGCTTATAGGGTTTGACTCGATGATTCCGGACATTCCGGCTTCAAGAGTTATGGGATACTTGCTTGAGGCTTCGGGTTTAGAGTGTGCGGACAAGTGCCCTTCGGAATTCTAAGCTAGTTGGTTGGGAAAATTCCGTTGGGCTGCCTAGGATACTACGGTCGAAGGCTTTAGGATATGTAGGCTTTGGGGCTCAGAGTTTCAAGGCTTTGAGGCCATGCCGCACTAACGTTAAGTCGGGCTTTTATAGACAGACCCAGGATCCCCAACAAAATTATGTTTGCACAACAAAAGCGAGAAAAAAAAGCAACGGGAAAATGTGCTGGAAATTGAAAAGGTGGAAACCCATGCGAAATAAATGTGATGCCAATCCAAAATGGTGTTCATTTAAGATATCTTGCAAAAGTGAAAAAAAGCGAAAAAAAACAGCAGAAAGCCATGGAACGAAAGATACCAGGTCAGTATTAATCACTATTGCTGCCATTATGAAGCGACAATCTAGCTTGCTCAGTTTTTTTCAATATTCCATGCTTTGGGTTGCATGTTGTTTTCGCAGTTTTGCTTATTCTTTTCTTGTTCGCAGTTCTTTTTTTCAAGCCTTGTTTCTAAGGGTGCATTTTCCAAACACATGTTGGTAGCTTTTTTTGCATTGATGTCACAAATTAATTACTCTGGGTTTTGTGGGTTGTACCTGCTGTGGACCGACTTAACACTAACGAAAAGATCCTAAAGGGAACCCCAAACAGAGAGCCCCAATAATATAGAAGGAATATAAAGGACCCTGGTAGGTATATTCCCTATGATACGCCTACTACGTTCTTGGGGTTCCCTGTTTGGGATTTAGTGTTTAGGACCCCAAGACCTAAACCCTAAACCCTAGACCCTAACCCTAAACCCTAAGCCCTAGACCCTCAACCCCAAACACACTCATATAGACAAGTCAGGCAAGGGCCGAGACGCAGGAAGTGACGTCGTCCAGTGGATGGCTCCTGAGGATTCTGCAGAACTTTCTTTTTTTGACTTTAGGGTTTAGGGTTCAGGGTTCAGGGTTCAGGGATCAGGGTTTAGGGTTTAGGGCTGCAGTCCGGCTCCTAGGGCTTTCGAGCTTCTTGAGATATGCGGACCTCAGGCTTCTCGGGTGGTTTCACATCCTTTGACTCACAGCACCCAACGCTGCGAGCGCAGGCCGTTTTTTCAGGGTTTAGGGTTTAGGGTTTAGGGTTGAGGGTTTAGGGCTTAGGAGGGTGTTCGAGCTACGGGTGTTTTTTGTAGGGTTCAGAACCCGAAGGGATATTGGGGCTTTAAGGGGATTCTATTCTGTTTGGGGTATAAAAGGGTGCCCGATTCTTTTGGAAATACCCATACTGTGTTTGCGGAGTCTTAGGGCGCGGCAGAAACAACTACCCGAGGCCTCAATGGACCAACCCTTCATCCCAAGCCTTGAGAAGCCGTGAAGCTCTGAACCCGTAACGCAAGACTCTAAACCTTATAAACCCTAAACCCTAAACCCTGAACCCTGAACCCTGAACCCTGAACCCTGAACCCTGAACCCTGAACCCTGAACCCTGAACCCTGAACCCTAAACCCTAAACCCTAAACCCTAAACCGCTTCACGAAGCCCTGAAAGGCACCCTCAGTCTGGAGGCAGCGGGTCCTGTGGTGGCGTGGTGCTGGCAGTGAGCGCAAGCACTTCACGTGTGGGAACCTCCCTCACTGGCCTTTCCGGGTTGAGGGTTTAGGAGGTTGAGGGCTGAGGATGTTGAGGTTTAGGGTTTAAAGTTTAACGCTTTGGGGGTTTAGGGGTTTGGGGTTTAGGGTTAAGGGTTTTGGGGTTTGGTGGTTCGAGTATAGCGTTTAGTAAACGCAGCTACGGCCACAGCAGGCAGGGGTCCATGCGGCCTGCCTGAAAGAAAAACAGCTTTTAAGTTGGGGCTTGGGTTTCGACTCGCACGACAGCACACGCGCATGCAAGGCTTCAGCTTAGGTCAGGCCACTCCCTGTGTGCAGATGAGTGCTTGAAGGTTCAAGGATTGTTATAAGTAGGCTTACAAGTGTCCTGCAGAATATGCTAAAAAACCCTACATATGAATACCCATGAGTCTCCAAGTGCAGCAGTGAAAGTCCTGCTCTTCGTCACTTAATCTCCAATGTAGCAACGTCAAGTGTGCTCCATTTAGGGGTTAGAGGGTTTAGGGTTTAGGGTTTAGGGTTTAGGGTTTGGGGCTTCGGGTCCTTCTCAAACCTGCATGTTGCTGGTTTCAACTTTCCTGCCTGGGAGCGGGCCCTATCTTCAGCTGGTGTCGCAGGGCATCCACCGCCTCGTCAGCGCAGCCCGTTTAGGGTTTAGGGTTTAGGGTTCAGGTTTTAGGGTTTATGGTTTAGGGTTCAGCAGCTCATGTACTAGCTTTCACTAGTCGAGCTTCTTCATCTTGTGATATCATTAAGCACATATACCATTCTCATCTTCAGCTGCATCTTAAGCCCTAAGCCTTGAAACTCTATACACCTAAACCCTAGGCCTCGCACACTAAACCCGGGCCGCACCCTTGGCAAGGCACAAACCTTCGTCGGCAAGGCACAAACCTGGCAAGGCACAAACCTGGCAAGGCACATGTGTGCCTTGCCGAGGAAGGTTTGTGCCTTGCCGTGTGCCTTGCCGAGTAAGGTTTGTGCCTATGCCGACGAATCCATTAGCTTTTATATTTATATATGTATATATAGTAAGAGAGGTTTAGGGTTTACGGTTTAGGGTATAGCCCGCTTCTGTAGCTGCAGCTAAAGCACTTAACATCACCGTGAATGGCTGCCAAAGCACACAGAACTGCAATCAGATTTCCCGATGCCCCTATGCAGCTGTTGAGCACAATGCCCTCAGTCAAAATGTCGTTTAGGGTTCAGGGTTTAACTAGGGTTTAGGGTTTGCTTACGGTGCCCTTTTGCCTTCAAAAGCATAGATCAAAAGGACCACAGGCTATGCCGTCTACTTGGAGGTTCATGTGCACTATAAAGTAGGGTCACTGAGGGTACCCGACTATACCCAAGGCCCACACGCGACCACTGTGCGCAAAAGCCTCCAAGGGCACTGCGTCGCTCAGCAAGATCGCGCCGTCCTGCTGGTTATGGAGGATGCTGGCCTTAGGGTTTAGGGTTTAGGGTTTAGGGTTTAGGGTTTAGGGTTTAGGGTTTAGCATTTAGGGTTTAGGGTTTTGGGCATTAGAGGAGCAAGTTTCGCAAACTTGGATCTGCTGAAGTTCACATGGCAACGTTAAAGCTATGGGGCAAAACCTCAAGCTTGGGATGTGCTCCCTTATACAAAAAAACAGTCCTTAATAGGGATCATAGTACCCCTGTTATAATCCCTATGAAGGATTGTTAGCATAAGGGGGAGCATCCCAAGGAATCCCAACCTCAAGCTCTGGAACCGTATTTACAAGGGGGCTCAACGACCGGGAGAAACAGTCTCGATCCATCCAGCCTCGAAGAAATGACATCCCAAACCACCACACCTGCAGCCCGACAGCATCCTACACGGTTCAGGCAATCACAACCCTTCATGGTGGAAGCCGAAACAAATGTGACGAAGAGTTTTCTGCGCGCACCACCAGCAGCATTGCCAGCACCCAAGCTCACCAAAGGGCTTTGGACTTAGGAGTTCGAGTTTGGGGCTTGGGGCAGTCCCGACGGAGGTCGTCCAAGGCGGCCTCCAGTTGGCTCCCAGACAAGGACGTCGCGGATCCGCAAGACCTAATGAAGGTTTAGGGTTTAGGGTTTGGGGTTTAGGGTTTCTGAGACCTGAGAATCAGAACCCACTGCTTGTTCTAGGTTGAGCGCTTAGGGATTGGGCTTTGAGGCTTACGGTGAATTGAGGGGATCAGAATGTTGCAGGGGGGCATATCTGATAAGGGCTTCTGGGTTGTGTTGTTCTTGCTCCAAGACCTGGATAGCTGGACCCTCTACAGACCTAAATCCCTATGAGCCTTATATATAGATGGCATGCCCCTGACCTCTATTTGTGAAGCAGCGCCAGACCAGCGATGCGCAAGTTTGGGAGAACTCCACACCTCCAGTTCCTCAACTTGGAACTGGTAGTAGATCAAAACACAAGCTCCCCCTTCCTTTTCCCCACTCTTACACCTACAACTTCGACCCTGAAACCTTCAGACTCCCGGGCCCGGCGTGCTTGTCAAGTTTCGTCCCGGGAGCTCAGGAATCTATGGTCTACTAGACGGGTCAGAATGACTACCAATGGTATTCCCTTATGGTCCCTTATTAAGTAGACTACAATCCCCAAACCCTATTCTAATTATTCAGGCCCCAAATTCTCAGGATGATACTACCCCAAAGGCAAGAGGCGACTTATTGACTTATTGGCTCAACAACTCAGATGGCCAAGGAAGCGGCAGCGGCGCGTCGCCGCCGACGTCTGCGCCATATGTGCGCCGCGTCTCGGGCGTAGGACGAGAGGCGGCGACCTGGGATCAAGAACAGGGGCTTGTATGGCTGTACCCCAATACGTGGGACTCTAACTGCTCTGTCGAGCTTTCGTGTGCAAAAATCGCAGAGTCCGAAACCATCGTAAAGTAGGGGCCTGAATAGTTAGAATAGGGTTTCGGGTCGTTACAAGAGCAAAGTTATATAGCGGCCATATGGCAATACTATTAGTAAATATTCCGACCCCATGATATGAAACCATAAACCCTAAACCTAAACCTTAAACTCTAAACCCTGAACCTTAAACCCTAAAACCTGAACCATTTCCAATAAACAGGTAAGAGTCAGTCGCCTCCACCGCACTAGGCTCTGGGAGGAGGCCTGCTGCCCGAGCATTCCTCGGCCACACACACGGGAAAGAGTATCAGACCCATGGGAGGGTCTAAAACCCTTTGCAAATACCCTAAACCTGCCGCTGTTGCTGGCGCTGGCATTTTTGGAAGGGTGACCCCCAGCAGGTCCCGGAGCCCCCCCCCCCCCCCCCCCTGGGTTTTTTTTGGAGCCCTGGACTTGACAATGGCCTCCTGGGCCCTTCTTGGACCCCCATTAGGGCCCCTCGCCTTTGTGCTGGTTGCCCAACCCCATCTTTTTGTGAACCTGAATCAAGCTGGCGACCACCGTGACGGAGTGAAGAAGTGTTATGGAAAGTAAGCAGTTGGCTTGAGTTTAGGCCTAACCCCTAAAATAGATTTGGGTGGCCTTGCCGCCTCGGACAGCGTGGGGTGGGAGAAAAATGTTAAATGGCCTTCCGCAATCGGGCCAAAGCTGCTCTTCGCGCCTCACGAAGCTTTCGAGCTTGTTCAAAACCTAACCTTCACAGCATCTACGCCCTATCCATAAGGGTTATATTCGGGTTACATAGCGGGAGAAGTGGGTGGACGGTGGGCCTACACAAGCTGCCTCACTCCTTAAGCCCTAAGCTAGCTGAGGTTCGCCTCTTACAGCATGCTGGGCTTTGCAAATCAGCAGCACCAGAGCAGCACTCTGGCCACTGTGGCATGGAATCCGAAAACCTTTTGCTCCTCCTAAACCCTATTAAAACCCTCTACCTTAAAGCACTAAAACCCTAAACGCCTCGGAGCCTAAACCCTAAACCCTAAACCCTCAACCCTAAACCCTAAACCCTAAACGCTAAACCCTAAGCGCCTCTGAGACTCCGAACCACGGCATCCACCAGGCTACCTGGCGACTCGCCCGGCACCGGCGCCTTCTGGACCACCAACTCCAAGCCGCTCCAGGTGCACCTAGGGTTTAGGGTTTAGGGTTTAGGGTTTAGGGTTTAGGGTTTAGGGTTTAGGGGGGTGGGGGGTGGGGGGTGGGGGGCTTTACCAAATAGTCCTGAATACCTGCTTCGAAGCCCCTAAGCTCGACACCCTGAGCTATGTGTTCCTAAGCCCACGAGCGCTCCATACCCTTGCAACGCGTAGTACATGAAACATGGTACACCTGCGCGAGGAAAATTAAGGATTGCATCTTGTATGGGAAGATATATAGGTCGCTAAACCCAGCCAAAACCCTTTTTTGAACCCAGACTCAAACCCTGAACCCTGAACCCTGAACTCTAAACCCTAAACCCGAAACTAAAACCAAAACCCTGTATAGGCCACGAGGTTGCAGAAGGTGAAACCGTGTCGGCATTGTGGGCAGAGGTCCATGTCAGGCTCTTTAGAGATGATCGTGTAGGGTTTAGGGTTTAGGGTTTAGGGTTTAGGGTTTAGGGTTTAGGGTTTAGGGTTTAGGGTTTAGGGTTTAGGGTTTAGGGTTTAGGGTTTAGGGTTTAGGGTTTGGGGTTTGGGGTTTAGGGTTTAGGGTTTGGGGTTTGGGGTTTGGGGTTTGGGGTTTGGGGTTTGGGGTTTGGGGTTTGGGGTCTGGGGTTTAGGGAGTTCGGGGTTGTGTGGGTGCTTTCTTGCACAACACCGAAGGCTCATGAGTAGTAAGGGGCAGTGCGAAATCAGAGGCGAACGTCTACAACACGCAGGCGCCCAGAAGCACCCCAAGCGCCAGAAATCCTAAAACTTCGACCCCGTAAGCCCTACACCCTAAACCCTAAACCCTGAACCCTAAACCCTGCAAGCCCCTAGTAGTATCTATCTGAGAGCAGCCAACTCACTTCAGAGCAACCATGAGCTGTTGAAGTGACAGTCCAGCAGACGCCGCCAGCTGTGCCAGGACCTGTGGGAGTGAGACAGGGTTCAGGGTTTAGGGTTTGGGGTTGAGGGTTCGGGTGTAGGGTTTAGGCGGTTCAGGGTTTGGGGTTAAGGGTAAAGGGGTTTAGGGTTTGCAAGATAAGCATTCTGCGAGGCATGCGCATGGTCTTTTGCCGGCTGCGGCAAAACCAATGATAACTACCTACTGCGCACCTACAACCTTCTGCCTCAAAAGAGAGTCCCCATACCCGGTAGTGAAGGTCGATTTCCCTTTAACTTGGGTTTAGAGGTTACTCCAGGGCACAGACTGCTAGGTTTGGAAGCTGAGGCGTTTGGGGTTTTCAGCTCTTATCGGCCCCAAGATAAATCCCGACTTCGAGGACCTTGGATCCTTGCTTTGAGAGGACAGCCTAGGGTCTATATGGTTCACATAATTCTTCCCCTGGGGCACATAATTCCCCCCCTAAACTGAACAAGTCCACCAAACTCCTTAAACCCGGACTCTCGTTGTCAAACCTTTCAGCATCCAGGCCTGTGCGTTGGCCGGCACTTACACAAATACTCAACCCTGAGCACTCAGCTTGAGTAAAACTTGGGGGTTTTGGGGATTTGGGGTTTTGATGTTTTAAAGGTCAAAAAAGCTTAAGGTTCACGTCCCGCCTTCTCTTCGTGATTCCGCTCTTCCGCACTTCGTCTCGCCAGCACGTGGCGGTGGCTCTTGGCCCAAGCCGCGGGCCTAGACCCAAGTTGAAAAGTAACCTAGGAATAAAAAAGTGTACCCTTTTTGGTTTAAAAGGGCCTTACACCAAAAACCCTAAACCCCCAAAAAAGGGAATAAGGCCCTAATTTTGGTTTAAAGGGCCTCAAAAACCCCAAACTCCCCCCCCCCCAAAAAAAAGGGGAAAAACGTGCCTAAACCCCAAAACCCAAAACCCAAAACCCAAAACCCAAAACCCAAAACCCAAAACCCTAAACCCTACACACTCCGGGTCCCAGAGTCGTGTCGGGCGGTGCCCACGCTTTGGTGGCCGCAAGGCAGACGGCGGAGGCCCCGCAGACGTGGAAGATCCGCCGTCGCGCATGGCGACCCAGGCTTGCCAGCACCATCTCTCTTTCAAGGGGTTTAGGGTTTAGGGTTTAGGGTTTAGGGTTTAGGGATGCCCTCTGGCTCCAGGTATACAAATCATACCTACATTGGGGTCTAAAGTCTTCCAATAACACCCGCTTTGGGCGTTTGGAGCCACAGGGGCATCAGAGATGGGGATGACATATACAGCATGTTAAATAGAATAGGTGCTGTGGTAGTTTGTGACTTCTTTACGGGGCATGGTAAGGACCATGTGTCTGGCGCTTCAGCAAGTTGCCGAAGTTCGCGGTGCGATGACAAGCAGGTCGGGGTCATTTCCGGGCGTACAGCCGAGGTTTAGGGTTTAGGGTTTAGGGTTTAGGGTTTAGGGTTTAGGGTCCGGGAGACACCTGTCCCAAACCTCCAGACGGCTGTTTTGGGGCCTCCTGTGTGGCGGCAAACTGTGTAGCAGCAAAGGGGGAAAGAGCCAGAACGCTGAAGAGTCTCATGCTGTCCGGCAGTCAAGCCGTGTGCACGACTTTGGTCCGGTTTGGGGCTCAAGGTTTCCGTTTTCTGGCTTGGTACTGGGGTGTAGGGTGATGGTTGCATCGAACTTTGAGGTCGCATCACTCCCTACAACTCCTGGTGTGTCAGGCCACAGTGTCCATGCTAGTGCTACGCAAGCGGCAAAGTTGCACCAGTCACTTGGTGATGCTTGTACAGGGACCTGTCTGAGATCGGGGCTGGGGTTGGCGTTTAGGGTGTCATGTGGACGAACTTGAACCTCATAAGGCTTATATGGCCTAGATTCCCCATAGATTTCCTTCATGGAGTGCCCTACGTTTAGGGTTAGGGATGGCATGTTTCAGTGCCCAGGGGATGGTCTACCCAACTTGGGATTCTCAGGTTTTGGCCTGCTTCAGGAACTGCGCGGCCACCACCTCTCGAATGGCTGGCAGTACTGCGGCCACGTGCGCCACAACCTGCACAAACCGCAGGCCATGGCTCCAAGGCTATGCTAGGATACTTGTAGGTTCGTATGGGGACTGAGAAGTAGGGTTAGAGGTATCATTAGGTATCTTTACGACGTATAACCGGAGTTTGCGGGCACTTATGGCCCTACTTCTAAGTACCCATGAACCTCCAAGTATAGGCTCTCCATGCAGCGATTGCCACCTTACGCTTTCTTGACCTAGTACATTCAGTGTCGGCCCGAACTGAAGAACACTCCGAGCACACCGCAAAAACCCCCCGAACTCCCTCGTCTCAGAGACATGACAGAAGCGATCAGGCCCGCCGACCTTGCCGTCGGCAAAATCCACGCACTCATCTCGCCTGAGCAGTTGAGGTTTAGGGTTTAGGGTTTAGTGTTTAGGGTTTAGGGGGGTTTAGGGTTTAGGGGGTAGTACCCGGGGAGCCTACCAATGTTACCATGATCAATGATGCCCACGAAAAAGCTTGTAAAAATGCCCTGCGCACATTGTATGAAGTCAGCAAAGTTCGTATGACCAAACCCTTGTACCTAACCCGTATAAAGCGTAGAAAGGCCCTGAACTCTAAACCCGAAACCCAGAACCCTGAACCCAAACCCGTAAACTCCAATCCCTGGACCCTAAGCCCTAAACCTTAAACCCTAAACCCTACACCCTACCCGCCTAAACCCTAAACCCTAGCAGCACAGGTGCGCGCCCATCACGCGGCTCCCTGAAGCGTCGAGGGCGCCGTAGTTGAAGGCACCTAGGGAGTTCTCGACATTTTTTCGGTTCAGGGATTAGGGTTTAGGGTGTAGGGTTAAGGGTTAGTGTCTAGGGGAGTTCTCGACATTTTGGGGTTTAGGGCTTAGGGTTTTAGGGTCTAGGGTTTTGGGGTCGGGTTTAGGGCCTTTAGGGTTTAGGGTTTACGGCCTTTAGGGTTTAGGGTTTAGGGTTGAGGGTTTGGACAGCCCCTGAACCCGTCTTCAGCAAGGGAATGGACCTCAACCACCGGCCACCTCCTGACATGCCCTAAAGCCTCTATACCCCGAAACTTCAGACGCAACCCGGAGGCCAAGCCTAGGCCCTTAACCGCCCTAAACCCTAAACCCTAAACCCTAAACTCTAAACCCTAAACCCTGAAACCCCACAAACCCCCTCGCAAGCCGTGAAGGCGGCACCCAGACAGTAGTTCATCACGACGTAGGCGATTCCAGCTGTCACCCGCATCGACCGCACTTGGGAGGAGACGCCGGAAGGCATACTCCTGCTTGGAGGTTTAGGGTTTAGGGTTTAGGGTTTAGGGGTAGATGCATAGGGTGTAGGGGTTTTAGGGTTTAGGGTTTCGGGTTTAGGGTTTTTGGTTTAGGGCTACAAGTGCTGGATGCCAGTCCAAGAACATGTATATATCAGAGCCGGCGACGCTGCTGAGAGTCCTACGCCCGACACCGGCGATGTAGGACGTATCCACCCTAAATAGGCTCATAACGATTTGGATTTGGCTTGAAGACTAGAGCTGTTTTGTCTAGGGCTTCCACCAACCTTATCTGAAAAACAAGATGCCCGTACCAACCGGCACACGCGCCCAGAGTGAACTCTACAGGTACTCATGAGTAAGGCTATGACTATAATGACTAAAAGTAGGGTAACTATACTTATAACCTTGTATCGGGTACCTATAACCCTACTTATAAGTACCCATGAACCTTCAAGCAGGGCAAGGGGTAGAGAGTTTGGGTCTGAGTAGTCCTGTCCGCAACTGACATGGCATCTCCGCTGTCAAAGGACTTGCCGCAGACGTCAAAGCATTCGGTGCAGCGCCGCTCCTGGAGACACCCTGCCTAAACCCTGAACCCTCAAACCTTCAAACCTTCAAACCCTTAAACCCTAAGCCCTAAACTCTAAACCCTCAAACCTCAAACCCTAAACCCTAAACCCTAACCCCTAAACAATAAACCCTAAACCCTAACCCAAACCCTTTGCGACCATAACCCTTTGCAACCATGAGGTGCCCAGGCAAAGAGCAAGCGTGCAGCAGCAACCCCGAGCTGAATTCTGCGTTTACTTTGGGTTGCTCACTCCTTGTACTCGCAGGTTTAGGGGCTGTTGGGGCTGCTTAGGGTTTAGGGTTTAGGGTTTAGGGTTTAGGGTTTAGGGTTTAGGGTTTAGGGTTTAGGGTCTAGGGTTTGGGGTTTAGGGTTTGGGGTTTGGGGTTTATGTTTTAGGGTTAGGGTTTAGGGTTAAGGGTTTAGGGTTTTGGGTTTAGGGTTCTTGAAAGGGATTATAAGAGGAGGTACGATAATCCGATTTTCCCGATTAAGGACTGTTCGTATGAGGGGGGAACATCCTACTGTTTACCCTTCTTCTTATTCTGAGAATGGTTGTTCAACTGAGGCCCGTCTAACCTTAAACCCCCCACATCCCTAAACCCTAAACCCTAAACCCTAAACCCTAAACCCTAAACCCTAAACCCTAAACCCTAAACCCTAAACCCTAAACCCTAAACCCTAAACCCTAAACCCTAAACAACGCGGCCTGGTTGGATGCATTTACGGTCATGCTGCTGCCCGTGCAGCCGGGCGAGTCGTAAAGAGCGGCCTCAAGGAGGGTTTGGGGTTTGGGGGTTTAACCCTAAACCCTAAACCCTAAACGCTACTTACTGGTCCAAGACCTGCCTAACCGTAACCCAAAGCTCAACCCAAAACATTCCCACAGCCTAAAGGGGCACAAAAGGCGACTCAGAGCTATGAGTCCTGGTTGGGGGTTTAGGGTTTATAGGTAAAAAGTGGTCCTTACATCCTCTCCTCCTAGACCAAGAGGGACCTAGGTATAAGGGAATAAGGGCCTACTCCGGGTCCTAGTCTCTCTCAGGCCCTAGGACATCTTATGGCCCTAAGAACCCTAAACCCTACCCCCTAAACCCTAAAACCTAAACTCTACAGACCCCAGGCCTCATAAAACCCTGCGCCCTATGAACCCTCGAGACCCTGAGTTTAAACTTTAAGGTTCGGGCCGGTTTCGGGCTCAGGGCTCAGGCTTGAGGCAAACTCTCCGCCTCAAAGGGGGCCATGGCCCAATGCTCCAGTAGTCTCGCATGAGATTGCCTCGGCTGCCAGGTGAGCGAAGCGCCCCTGTGGTTGATGGCATTCCACATGGTAAGGGGGTATAAAGGAGGCTTTTTTGAAGGGGCCCTGAATCTTGTTCCCCTATCTAACCCCTTTCTGTACCTTGTTTTAGTCCCTATGTACCTAAGTCGCCCCTAAATAAACCCTAAAGAACCCGTGAGCTCCCTGATACGGCCCCCCCCTCCTTTAGTCCTTTGACCATGGGGCCTAAGAAGAAAGCTACGTCTAGGGTTTCGGGTTTTTTGCGTTGTGGAATTGGGCCGTAGGATGCCGACCTTATGCAGACACTTGAGGGGTTTGGTTCTTTTCTTGCCAGGGTTTAGGGTGTTGGGGCGTAGGGTTTAGGGCTCAAAAAGCCGTGGGGTGTGCTCGGAATCTCAAGCCTTCGGGGGAGAGTAGGGACCCAAGCTGCGTCTCGAAGGTAGCCAACTCCACATCGCTCAGTATGGCATCCGCATCTGCGTCCTCTTTTGTCAATCCCATGTTGATACCCTGAATCTTCAATGATTCAAAAACCAAACCTAGCAAGGCCCTTAAAGCCCTCTGAAAAAATGTTTCTAAGTATATGATAGTTTTAGACCCAATCAGGTGAAATTGTAATACAACACAAGGGCCTACCTCCCTAAACCCCAAACCCTACATACTGAGAAGTTTCGGGGTTGGGTCTGGGTCTGGGGAGACATGAGCAAACATGGGAAACACCTCTCTGTCCCTTTCTGAGCTCCAAGTTCACCGAATCATCGTCTCAGGGTTTAGGGTTTAGGGTTTAGGGGTTAGGGTTTCGGGTTCCCGACTCATCACGCACCGACGCCCTCGAAAGTAGTCCAAGCCCGACAAGCAAGAGAGCCCTAAGCCCCAAATCCCTAAACCCTCAACCCTGCACCCTTAAACCCTCAAGCAAAATTCCAAAGTCGCCCACAAGGCTCTTCCATAAGAAGCCCCAACCTTAGACCCAACCAATTACGTCTCAAAGATTACACCCCTAAACCCTAAACCCTAAACCCTAAACCCCTACATCATGGGCCCGAAGCCCCAACACCCAACAAACAAACCGAACGCCAAACCCCAAGTCCGAAACCCCAAACACAAAGCCGTGAGGGTTTAGGGTTTAGGGTTTAGGGTTTAGGGTTTAGGGTTTAGGGTTCACGGTTGTGTGTAAACCCCAAACACTATAAGCCCTATCAACCCTGTCAACACCATATACTCTGACTCTAAACCACAAGCCCTAAACTAGGGCCTACACCTCAAACCCTAAGCCTCAAACCCCAAACCCAAACCCTAAACCCAAGCCCCAAACCCTTCTTGACTCCAGGCTCAGCCGGATCCGAACTTACTGGCAATCTGCGGAAAGCCCCAAACCCTAATTAAACCTGAAACCCCAAACCCGGAACCCCAAACCCGAAACCCCAAACCCTATCAACCATAAACCCTGCCGCACACCCTAACCCGAAAACCCGCAACCCCAACCCCCAAACCCTAAACCCTCAACCCCAAGCCCCAAACCCTAAACCCCAAGCCCCAACACCTACACCCCAAGCCAGAAACCCCAAACCCCAAGCTCCAAGCCCCCAAACCGAAACCTCAAACCCCAAGCCCCAAAGCCCAACCCGAAACCTCAAGCCCTAAACCCTAAACCCTAAACCCTAAACCCTAAACCCTAAACCCTAAACCCTAAAACCTAAACCCTAAACCCCAAACCCTCAACCCTCAACAAGCAAGCCAGCGTCCGCATCGCGGAAGAGGGATGCTAGGCGACTCGAGGCTCCCAAACCCAAACTCTCCATGGTCTCCTACTTTGGAGGCTCATGGGGTGGCGTTAGGGTTTAGGGTTTAGGGTTTAGGGTTTAGGGTTTAGGGTTTAGGGTTTAGGGTTTGGGGTTTGGGATTTAGGGTTTAGGGTTTAGGGTTTAGGGTTTAGGGTTTAGGGTTTGGGGTTTAGGGTTTGGGGTTTGGGGTTTGGGGGTTGGGGTTTGGGGGCTTGGGGTTTGGGGTTGAAGGGAGGTTCATGTCATGTGTAGTTATAAGTAGGGGCTACAATACTTCTGACCCTATTTGGGAGCAATGAACCGTCCAAGCAAACTCCTCCGCATGTGGGGCGCCACCTTTCCTTTTACAAGGCTACCTTGTAGGGTTGGCCTATATATAGGGCTAACTTAACGTGTAGGGCTTCTAGGCCCTAAAACCCGAAACCCTAGACCCGAACCCGCGTTATAGGGCTTACAGAGCTTCGAGGATTCGGAAGGTCTCGGTCGCAACTATAGACCCTGAGCAAGCCAAACCGGGAAGACCCAGACTCAAAGTCCTCAGGGAGTGAGGGGTTAGGGTTTAGGGTTTAGGGATAGGGTTTCGGGTTTAGGGCATCAAGACCCCTCCCACACGAGCTCAGTACTGTATACAGTAGGACTTAGAGGGGTAGGGCTTCGTATGGTTTAGGTTTGTGAGGCTTCTGGGGCTTCGTAGGGCGCATGAGTTTTGCACGGGCTGCGGGCTCTTACAGGACTTTTACCCGTGCCTGTGCAGCAGCCACGCTCGCAAGCCCCAGCCAAACATGCCTGGGCAGGCGGAAAGGTGCCCAAAAACCTACAGGGCTACCAGCTCCCAGAGCAAAAGGGGGGGTCAGGGTTCCAAATACCAAAAAATGCCCAACGGTTGCAGTAAGCTCCAGAAAGTTGGAACATGGTTTAAGGACGAGTATATGGTGCTGGGATTCCCTTTAGTAGCCCTCTTGGAGTATGAGGATAATGATATTCCAACTTGTGGAAGGTTCCTGTAGGGGACCCACAAGTGGCTCAGGAACTAGAACCCCACGCTAGGCTCGGGTCTGTTGATGTTCTGAACTATGCTTGCAGATCAAGACAGGCGACTACAGTACCGTTGCAAGTCCTTACAAGATCCGAGCTGGATCTGTTCATACCATAAAACAGCGGAAGCACGCGCATGCACACGAAGTCTCAGTAGAAGATGTCGGAAGCCTGATGAAGAATGATTCCAGGCCGGCCGCGTGCGCGCTCCGACAGCTTTGAAGAACTCTGCTCTGAGACCATGAAGATGACGGAAAACCCTAAACCCTAAACCCTAAACCCTCAACCCTAAGCCCGAAAACCCCGGGGCCAAGCCTCCGTGAGTCTTGTTCGGATTAGGGGTCAAGACTTGGGATGTTCTCCTTATACTAACAGTCCTTTCGACCCTGCGAGCTCTGCCGGGCTTCACAGCCGTCCACGCAGCCCTCATGAGCACTCGTGCAAATGTCTTTAAATAGGAATTATGATACTTATTATAAGGGGGGGTACTATACTCCCTACTACGGACTGTTCGTAGAAGGGGGAACATCCAAGTCAAGACCTATATAGGTTCAACATGCCTGTACAGGAACTCTGGCATTTGAGGAAAACTGGCAGTACGCTGAAATCATGCGGCATATCGGCGCACTTCCTCTCGGCCACAAAGGCTAGACCCAAGAGTAACCTAGGAAGAAAAGGGGTGCCTTTTTTGGGTTCAAAGGGTTTAGGGTTTAGGGTTTAAAGGGGCGTACTAGGGAACCTCAACCTTAACAAAAAGGGGAATAAGGTCCTACTCTGGGTCCGAAGAAGGGTGGTTGCTGCTCTTGACAAGATGCCTTGAGCATCGGCTCTGCAGCCACTGGCTCATGGCAAACGTGGCTGCAAGTGCTGCAGAACACCCTACACGCCCGAAACCCGAAACCCTCTACGAAGCCCTAAACCCCAAACCCCAAACCCCAAACCCTAAACCCTAAACCCTAATCCCGTGTAGTACGATAGTTTTGATACGTGCCTTGCTGTGGCAGGGTGTGGTGTCTGCATGCCTTGATCCAGACGTGAAGCGCGACATGCACAGCGGGCACGGGAAGCTTCACCTTCAGCACGCAGAGCACCTCAACCATAGTCTGCAGGGTTTAGGGTTTAGGGTTTGGGTCATGTGCAACCTCCCATTCGTTCGAAAATGGGCAGCCCCCGCAACTCCACAAGGGACAGTGGATGAATGCTCCGGCATGAACAGCGAGAGTCATAGCGACAGCAATAGAAAGACGGCATCAGGAACAGCATCGGCGATAGCACTTCACGCAAGAACCCTTCTACACATGTTTACCATGGCCAGATATCATGACTACACTTCTAGTTTTTCTTGCTGCGGTTGTAGCGACTAAGGTCGTTGATGTCATTGCTATCATGAACTGCCCGATTAGCTAGGAGCAGGCTTCACGCCCATCCCAAACTGCTCATGTAACATAATTTACTATTAGCTGAAAACGCTCCCGAGACATGAAAGATACCATTCCCTATACTCCCCTCATAAGGAAGAAGACTTCTTCTTGTTCGCGCGTTCTTAAGCAATTAACCTTGGGGACCAAATGAACCCTAAAAGGGTTTATGGTTCATTTACCTTAATAGGATTAGAGTAGTATAGGGTATATGACCCCAATTTTAGGGTTCATTTGGTCCCCAAGGATTAGTAGTAGTTGGAGAGGAGTCCCTCAGCAAAGTGCCCAATCGACAAAGCGTCTCGCAAAGCCCAGGATGCTGCAACCTCTCAGGCTTCGGAAGCCTAAGCTTTCTGCCTTTCCGGTTGCTTGCGACCCTGATAAAAGTCAAAAAATGCCTAGCAACCCTCAAAAACCCTAAACCCTAAACCCTAAACCCTAACCCCTAAGCCCTCAGTCCTAAGCCCTAAGCCCTAAGCCCTAAGCCCTAAGCCCTAAGCCCTAAGCCCTAAGCCCTAAGCCCTAGGCCCTAGGCCCTAAGCCCTAAGCCCTAAACAACACTTCTTTTAATCAGAGGTTGAAGGCACAACTTGTGATCTCGATACTCGAGACCCATGCATGAGCTCACTGGCCTTTCGCCAGAGGGATCTCCGATCCCACGGTTTGCTTCAGCATGGGTACAGGGAGGTTCATGGGTAGTAAGGTGTAGGGCTTCGGGGGTTAATAGGGTTCAGGGTTCAGGGTTTAGGGTTTAGGGTTTGGGGTTTTAGGGTGTAGGGTTTAGAGGTAGTTCGAAGAAGGCTTCTAAGCATGGCAACTATACTTAGAACGCTATGGTAGGGTTTAGGGTTTAGGGTTTAGGGTTTAGGGTTTAGGGTTTAGGGTTTAGGGTTTAGGGTTTAGGGTTTAGGGTTTAGGGTTTAGGGTTTAGGGTTTAGGGGTTAGGGTTTAGGGTTTAGGGTTTAGGGTTTAGGGCTTAGGGCTTAGGGCTTAGGGCTTAGGGTTTAGGGTTTAGGGTTTAGGGCTGATAACTCTTGCTTAGAAGTACCCATGAACCTCCAAGTAGGTCTTCGCGCTACTCTCGGGCCTATGGTTACGATTCAAGCGGTTGTGCTCAAAGATGCTCAGGCCTAACCTAAACCCTAAACCCTAAACCCTAAACCCGACACCCTAAACCCTAAGAGACTAAACCCTAAACCCTAAACCCTAAACCCTAAACCCTAAACCCGAAACCCGAAACCCGAAATACCCTAAATACCCTAAA